AGAAGTGCAAGAGTTGCTTTGGTGAGTCACATGTGGATTTGGAACGAGAGCCCAGTTGGCAAACACGTATTTTTCATAATTGCTTGAGGTCAGTGCTTCAGTAAAAATAATGGAAAAACCAGATTAGTTACAAGCAAACCTCACTGAGTTATGTGTGAAACACTCAGCTCAGGGATAGGCTCGCAGAATTTAACCAGCCTCTGGAAAGTATGGCACCAGCATCCCTGGAACTTCTCCATTCATGGAAACAGTGGGATTGGAGACAGTGTGCTCTGACCAGCCACAAACCAGGTCAGTCTGTGCTACAAGGAACCCCCTCAAACAAGACATAAAAAGGGGGAAGGAGCAGTCATTCATTTGCTATAACTGATGTTTAAGCCAAGAGTGACTAAAATGTATACTGATTATTTTTTCCAGGATTTTGCCCCCCTCTCCTCTTTTTTTGCTTCCTTCTGCCTTCTCCTTCTCCTTGTCTATTTAAAAACACACTTTTGCTCACCACTTTTTAAATGGCTGTGTAAAGATCAACACAACAGCCCAAGACATCCTCATGCTCATTTACCTTCTGTGTGATTTTCAGTGCAAGCATAAACCTTCAACCATTTCAGCAAAGGTTTGCTTGGTTGGACCATTCAGTGGCAGAAAAAAAAAAATCCCTGTATTTGCAGAAAAATAATCCCTGTGTTTGATTGTATCTGTTTCAGACTCCACAAGAGGGCACCAGATAATTATCTAAAATATCACCCAGGCAGCTGTTGTGAAAAAGCTGTTAATTGCACCTAATTAGAGCTCAGTAGATGTATTAATTAATTAATTAATTAATCGGGCCTCAGTACAGACATTCCATCTCCACCCAGCTTCCAGTTTGCTGCTCCTGTTTTGGATGCCAAGGAGAGCTCTAAGCAGGTATTGCTTCTCCCTCCAAATATTCCCCCATTTCTAGTCTTGCTGCTGGCCTGGCTTGTGTCACACTCCCCAAATATTGCACATATCTCAAAGATTGCCCAGAGCCCCAGAGTGAGAACAGCCAGTGCTAAATTTGTTTTCCAGGCCACAGCACAATTTTTTCACCACAAATGAAAACTTCATCAGTGCAAGAACACCTTCACTACAGGTTAATCCCACGCTTCAAAAGTCTTTGCCCCTATCTTTGCAACACTTACAGTTATTTAAAAAAAACCCCAACTATTTCAAAGCATCGTGTACAGAATTTTCCTACATTTCATAGGTGTTAATCACCCTTGTTTCCTTCCTGCAGAGGACAGGACATTGCTTGCTTGCTGAATCACAAATTAAAAAGCTGTAAAAAGGGTTTAATCCTGTCCCTATTTCAAATTAGCTGCGCTGGGCACCATTCTGGATTCTTCTTTGCCCTGACACTACTTAGACACTTCTGAAAGTATGTCCAAAATCTTTTGAGGAAACAAGAAGGTAAAAAAAAGGACTAAAAAAGTATTTCTTTTCTCTCAACCCACTTCTCATTGCTGCAGCACATGCAAGCAGAAACAATTATCACCCTGGTTTTTGTTGTGGCTAAACAACATGTTTCAGATAAGTGGAATTAATTCTCTTCTCTTCCTGTATTAAAAGGGATAAAGCAAATGCCTAAAATAAAGATCCCAACAAATGAAAATATTTGTAATAAACTAATTACCTGATTAAATGATTACATTCTCTGCCTCCCTGCATTTCTCCACCTGTTAATATAGTCTTAAATATCAAACACAGAATTAATACCAGCCATTAAGTGCATGCTACCCCTCTCCAAAAGCCCAGTCAAGCATGTCTTTATAAAAACAATACCACTAATTATCCAGCTCTTCTATTTCAGTCAAACATCTTAATATGCCTTGAAGGTATTTTACAAGCTAAGGAGACAAAGTGTCTCCTCAAAGCACCAATATTCTGAAAACATGGTACATTTCTGACCACAAACCCTAAGGCTATAGATTTAGTAAACACAGGGTTTTTTCCAGTAAAAAAACTGAGGTTTTGCCTCATGAAATGTTGAAGAAAATGTTGAATTTTTCAGTTGCATGGCCTTTTTCTATAATTTGAGGGGGTGCTACTTTGAACTATCCTTCATTTTTTAAATTGGCCAAACCCTTTGATCACGGGCTGAAACTTCATTTTCTGAAGCAGAGAATGTGATCTTGCAGCTACTTGTGAAGTTCTTGGCTAGTTCTGACCTCAGTTTTTACTTTGTTGATACGATTACTTTCCAACCACACAGCTGAATGCTGTTATGGAAACACTGTCTGAAAAACACAAAATATTTCTGAATTACTCCCAGTCGTTGACACCACTGTGCTCCGGTTGTTCAGCTGCTGTGCTTGTAGGATTGCTTGGCCTGTATCTACTCTGGGATGCTTCCTGCCCATACAACTGCCAAAGCTTTTATTTTATATATATATATATATATATATATATATATGTATTCCTGCCTTCTTAAAGCAACTTGCAATAAAGACCTTGGCCTGATACTGTTCCCATCAAAGCTGGTGAGTGAGCTTATCAAAGCTGTATTAGAGTCAGGTACATCAATATTTGACCCTTCCTAAACAAGATCCACTCTGTTACTTCCTGCTCCCATCTCTGCTACTCCCAGCTCATTCAGGACTTACTAACTGCAATTTTGAGTAATATCTTTCCCCACTGGGACAGCATTGTCCAAATGCTGGCTCTAAACTGTTTCTCAGGGAATTTTTTGGAAGAAAGGACTTAATAATGGTGGGGTCTGAATACTGAAGATCTTGTAGTGTCTCATGCAAAACTTATTCCAAAGGAATAAAGCTGATAGAGTCCCTCAGTGGTCCATTTTCATCCTTGAGCAACGTGGATTGTGCTACAATTCCCATTTATTCACATTACCTCTGTGAGTAGTTACTCTGCCATGGCTCTCTCCTTCTCACTTATTTTGGTCTACAAGTCCCAAAATAAAGCCACGATCTTTTCCAAGTCCTGCAGATACCTTGGCAGGTTATTATCTTACCCATGAGCCCAGGAAGGTAACAGAGATTCCAGCAGAGCTGACTGGTTTGGACACACATTGACAAGAAGCCCTTTCTTCCTGCCTCATTGCACCTGATTTGATCCCGAGGACAGCTGCTCTTTACACACTTTGTAACCTGCACAAAGGCTAAATGGCTCAGAAATGCCTCCTGCCCTGTTTGACAGGGACAGTCAGCATGGGAAAAAGGATTATGTGAGTGCTGCCAGGGCAGCCCAGTCTCTCAGCCTGCTGGGACACCACCAATTACCTCACCCTACCAGTGCCCATTTATTTTTCCTTTGCTATCACTTATTTATACCCTCATCTTTCCTTGCTGTGATGTACCACAGCAGAGTTATGCACCAAAATGTACATTTTCTCCTGATTTCTCCCACCTTTTGCCTGCTGTTTACAGTTCCCTGCCTCCAGACTTTTAAAATGGGAGTATTTTATTTTTCTTTTACTTCTCTCTATATGCTGCATTCTAAAAGGCAGCAAATGGGTGACCTTCAATCACTTTAACAGGTAATAAATATTTTACCTGGAAGGAGGACATGGAAAAAGCATGTCTCAGTTGACTGGAGTAATTTTCTTTACTATTATTTTGCTGCTGCAAGGAGCAGAAGAAATGTTTCCATTACAGCAGGAACAGTGGAAACGAGGAGCTGATGAAAGCTTTCTCAGCTCTCATGCTGCATGGCTTTTCTGCCTGCTGCAGAGAACAAAAACACTCACAAGCACAGATTTGAAATACAGTATTACCCACCTCCCAGGCTCTCTTATCTGCACTGTGAGAGCAGAATCACAGAATGATGGAATGACTTGGGCTGGAAGGCACCTCAGGAGGTCCCTGTCCAAGCTCCAGCTCAAAGCAGGGCAGCTCTGGGGGCAGATCAGGTCGCTCAGGGCTTGAACTACTTGGGTTTGGAAAACCTCCAAGGATGGGGATGGCACAGCCTTGCTGGGCAGCTGTGCTGCTCTTGAGTGTCCTGGTGGGGAATAGGTTTTCCCTGCATTCAGCCCAAACCTTTCTTGGTTTGGCTGTCACCCCTCACCTCGACTGAGAAAAGCCTGGCTCAGCCTCATGGGAAGAGTCCCCAAAGCCTTCCCTGCCCTGGGCTGACCAAGCCCTGCTCCTGTGGCCTTTCCTCACAGAGAAAGTTCTCCAGCCCCAGCCATCCTGGGGCTTCCTTTCCCTTTCCTTCCTCCAGTCTGTCAAGGCCTTTCCTGTTCTTGGAGCCCCAAACTGGGCACGGTATCTGATGTGACCTAAGGAGTGCTGAGCATGAGGGACTAATCCCTCCCTGATCCCCTGCCATGCCCCTGCCAGAGGCAGCAGTGTCCCTGCCACTAAATGATACAGGAAATGTAAAACAAAATAAACATTTCTTAGAAATATGGTGAGTTGGACACCAATAACACAGCTTAATTTTGTTGGATTTCTTTTGTCTCCCTTTCAACAAAATTTTCTTCAGAATATCTATAGTTTATTAATTTCCATGCCACTTTTTAGTTTAGTGTTTTGCCAGATGCTTCCCTGTGAGGGTGGGGAGGCCCTGGCACAGGTTGCCCAGAGAAGCTGTGGCTGCCCCTGGATCCCTGGAAGTGTCCAAGGCCAGGTTGGACGGGGCTTGGAGCAACCAGGATAGTGGAAGATGTTGCTGCCCATGGCAGAGGGTGGAACTGGATTGGCTTTAAGGTCCCCTCCCACCCAAACCATGCTGGAATTCTGTGATTCCCAGTCACCTTGCACTCCATCTGCCTTTGGAGATCTGCTTTCCTTACAACTGCATGCTCTCATTTTGAAAATCTTACTTTTGCAACATTTAGCTTTTTTCACATCAAAAAACTTTTCCCAACAGTGGTACATTAACATGGGAACTTCTTCACTCCCCTCAGTACTGCAGACAAGTGAAGGAACTTTCACCAAAGGACACTTCTGGTACAGCAATAGCTTGACAATGTCTCCCTTTCCTCAGCACTGATGAACAGCCAAAACACCAGAAAATTTCAGTCATTAACTCTTAATGTGATTCTAAAGAGAGCAACTTATCCGAATCTCTTCTTCTGTTCTGTACCAGCCTTGAACTTTAACATTGAAAGAGCTCAACACGAACCACTGAAGAAAAATAATTCTTTTTAAAAAAGGAAACCTAATCAAGAACAAAAAAAGGACTGTTAAATCCTGTCCCCAGCTGACTCCCTCTGAGATTTAGCTGAGACATTTGATCACACTTAGAAAACAGAGATGTTATCACTGACTACTTTATCAAGCTCTTGTGAGGATTAATTATATAGGCTGCGGTGTAGGTCACAGGGAGTGTGAGGGAGTGAAAAAAGTTGCTTAGAACAACGAGGAATAACCTGACATAGGCTAGAATGTCTTAAAAACATGTGAAGTTTTGCAAAAAGGGGTAACAGTCCAAGCCAGAATATTTTTTTAATATTCTGAGAATATTAACTGTAAAACTCGAGGAAAACTTAAAATACTCCATATTGAATTGCTTAAATACTCCATATTGAACAATCTTAATTATGTTGCTGCATGATTAAAGACTGAAGTATTAATTCAAACTCACGTCTCACAAGGTGATCTCTGTTCACTTTTTACCCACACCACGTTTAATTATGCTAAGCACACTGCTTTGCTTTTGCTATAAAACACTTAATGCCAACACCAATAAAGGCACCACCAAAGACCCAAAGCTCATAAAAACAATCTTAACTTAACAAACATTAAAAGGCAGATGCTAGAGGACAAATGCTTATTTCACATTACGACCGCAGAGTGGACTGGGGATGCTTGAAAACCCTGGAATGTGTAATTTTGTGTGGTGAGCAGGAGCAGGGCGAGTCGTGCCTCAGTTTCCATCGCATTGGAGCAGTGTGACGGTGGCAGTGCCCGGGCACTGGGCTCGGTGCCGCTGCCCTGCCTGCCTGGGCTCCAGCTCCCTCCAGGGCCCACCAACTGTGGGCACATCCCTCTCTCTGGAATGGTGGCCAAGAGCCGCGGAGTTCAGGGAGAGGAGCCCAGCAAAGGCCACACGTTCAGCCCACTGGGGCTGATGGACCTGCTCGTGCCCAAAGACAACTTAATAAGGCAGATATAACCTAATCCCTGCTCTCCATCGCCTCACCTGGCTCTGGGGCACCAGTGGCTGCCCGGGGCAGGTCACACTCCGTCCAGGGCATCGCCATCCGGCCCCCTCGCTCCTCACGGAGCTCCTGCAGGCTGCGGGAATTACAGGATCAATGCGGCTGGAACAGCCCTCCCAGCCCATGGATCCCCCCTGTGCCCGATGCCCCTCTTGTCCCCCAGCCCAGAGCACTGAGTGCCACGGCCAGGCCTTCCTGGGACACCTCCAGGGCTGGGGACTCCAAACCTCCCTGGGCAGCCCCTACCAAGGCCTCACCACCCTTTCCAGGAGCAAATTCCTCCTGGTGTCCCACCTGAGGCTCCCCTGGCGCCGTTCATTCCCCCCGCCCCGGTGAGGGCCGTCAGGGGGTGCGGAGCGGGGCCGCGATGGGCTCTGTGCCGCATCCCCGTGAGGGGAAGGGGAGCGGGGGGAACGGAGGGGGAAAGGGAGCGCTCTGAGGCGGCGGGGCCGGGGGTGTGGGCAGGACGGGGAAGGCACCGAGCGGCCCCCGGCCCCGGCGGGGAGGGAGGCGGAGGAGGGCGCGGGGCGGCCCGGGCTCGGCGGCCCCGTCCGCGCTCCCCCTGCCCAGCCCCGGCCATGAATATGTAACTCCCCTCTATTTCCCGAGCTCCATTGCGGAGCCGCCGCTCGCCATATTGCGCTGCGGGGGTTGCGGCGGCAGCGCCGGCCGGAGGGACCCGGGCGGGACCCGGCGGCACTCGGTGAGCGGGGCCGGGCGGGCGGGGCCGCCGGGGCTGTCCCTGTGGGGGCCGGCCAGGGCAGGGCTCGGCTCGGGCGGTGCCGGTGCCCGGAGCGGGGCTGCCCCGGGGCGGGAGGCTGCGGGGAGGCGTTGCGGGGCGGGGGGCGCCGCTCGGGGCCGGGGTGTCCGGGAGGAGCCGTGGCAGGGCGGCCCCAGCGCACCCCGACCCCGCGGCCGCGGGCACCGAGCCGCCCCCGGGCCGGCGGGGGGCTGCACCCCCCGGGGCGATGTGTATCTATCGTGTAGGTATGTATATGTACGTACGTAGTGTCTGTGGGTGCGGGGGAGCCGCGGGCAGGGGCAGCGCACGCCGCCCCACATCGCAGCCGCAGTACCGCAGCAGCAGCCCCGGAGCGCGGCACTGCGAAACGCCGTCCTTGGGAAGGGAGAGCCGATTAACGCGGTCAGGAGCCGGTATTGTCGGGGCTGCGGATCGCCCCCTCTGTAAAATATGACGGTGAATATGATTTATAGCTCTGCGTCCGCGGTCTTTTGTCTCCGCCGGAGCCCCGCGCATCGGGGTGTGCGAGGGGTGATGCTGGTGCTGGGAGCGACCTGGCTGCTCCTGCTCCTGGGAAAATGTCGCTTCCCACAGGGCAGCAGGTGCAGGGAGACGCTGTGTCGGGAGCTGTGGATGTTCCTCCTCCCTTCGCACCCGCTCTCTCTGCTTCCCATACGAATTTAGCACCTGTTCCTTGCCAAGTTGTTCACTCTGCGGTAGCTGCCTCTCCAGAATCACTTGCCTCCCTTCCACCGTGCACGTATGAAACAAGCACTGAGCAATGTTCTCCTCGGGATTTTTGTAAGCTGTTTGTTTTACAGACCCTCCCCTATGGAAAATAGTTGGATCGTGTGCCTAATTCTGCAGAAATCCAGAGGACAGCTAGTGGAGAATGATGATTTCCAGCATGATAAATCATAATGCAGCCCTGTTTGGAAGTGGTTGTAGCTCTGTGTAATAACTGTGCACTGCACACGGGCTTTTACGGATTAAAGGGAATTGCTTGCATTTGAAAGAACGTGACTGGTGTGCGGGGGAAATTATTGTTGCTTGGGGAAAGTTCTTTAATCAAATATGTCACTCATTTCACTGACAAAGGCTTGATTTGTCATAGGAGTTCCCTGCAGAGGTACTCTAATTTGTATTCATCTGTGTTTTCATTAAAAACTTGTGTAATGAGATCATTTGACTTTCTTATACATCGTGTCAAGCTCAGAGCTGGCACTGGGCCTGTCAGCGGAGAGAGAGGCGCTCGCTGGGACAGCAGCAGAAAATGGATAAGCAGCATAATTTGTGTTAAAATATGTATTTGTTTGAAGAGTTAACTTTGTCAGTTGTTTGGAGGTGGGAGGAATTCCCTCTGGGCAGTGTGAGCTGAGTGTCAGCCATGAGCTTTGTGGCTGGGTCTGGCTCTGTAATGGTCCCTTTCAACAATGACAAGTTTGGAACATCTTGATACCTTATTGACCCTGCAAATCGTCATTGACAATGTTTAAAAACTACCTTAGTTTTTTGTGTTTGACTTTGTAATAATACAGGGAGACAGATGTTGCATTGGAGGTGTTTTTTCACTTCTTCATTGGCTAAAATTCTGACCTGTGGCTTCAAAGCTTTGAAGCCCCAGCCTTGCTGCAGCTGCCAAGAAAAGCACTGCTTGTCATGTTTTAGAGGGGAAATAATATGCAGGCCCTGGCAAAATAAATTGCACAGGTCTCCCTTTATCAATGGTGCTTTGTGCTTTAAGAGTGATATGTGGTAGTGGGTTGACTTGGTTGAGCATCTTGGGGAATTACAGCAGAATTCTGGCATTTTCAGGGCTGTGTTACCAGGAGAAATGTGGTTGGCACCCATAGGAAAGTCATCAGTCTTAGATGTGAAATAGGTGTTGGGAGAACTGAATTTCTGCAGCTTTCTTTAAACTCCTTCCCGTGCTTACAAAAAGAATGGAACTGGGGGAAAAAGGAGCTTCAAAAACCAAGATACCAGTCTGGACTGCTCAGTTGTATTTTTCCTATAAGGAGCACTGGATCTGCTCTTACTGCAGCACCAGTTCTAGGAACATGTGGGAAAGAAATATCGGAGTAAAGGAATTCCCTCCATCATTTTTCCCTAAATACCTTTTACCTATTTTTTTCTGAATAGATCAGCAGCTTAATAATGGTATAGACAGAGAGGAAAAGAGATTGGAGAAGGGATGTTGTCGAAGCTCAGCTTGGTTCTGCTTGTTGATGAAAATAATTGGCCTTCGAAGCTGACCCTAAATTCTTAATTTTCTGAGGAATGAGCAGCATTCAATATTATGGAGCTGTTTAGACTTGTTGCAGTGGAGAAATATTTTAGGAATTATCCCTCTCTGCTTTGCCCCCTCTTCTGGATCGTGGGGCTCCCTTGCAGACAGCTGAGAGTTAGCAGTAGTATTCTGCTAACTAATTAAAAACCTAATCCATGCTTTACTCTTCACCTCTTAGTGATAGCATTAAACTGTTTTGGATAATTACTGGGTTAAACTGTGTGAATATTGCTCCTGTAGTACTGTTTACAAAATGTACAATCTTATTTGTGAGGGAGTCGTTGGAATGCAGATTGTTCTTCGCTGTCACCCAGCTTTGGGCAAGAGCTGCTTTGTTGCCAGATTAACAGTTTGGCTTCTATATATTTATTGTAGCTATTAAGTCAATCATACATGAGATGGCTTGAGTCTTTTTGTCTCTCAAGTGTTGTGGGGGAGTTTATTTTCTGTTTCTTAACAGCCAAGCTGTCTTTTGTTCTCATCAAGAAAATTCTCTCACTGTTGGTTGTGGCTTCACTGTGATAACTGCTAAGTGGGGGGGGAAATCTTTCTGTCTGTCTAACATAGCTCTGGAAAAACTGGAATCCAAGCATATTTCTTGATCTGATATTCTCAGAATTGTTCCTATAATGTAAATGCAACAGAGTACTGGTGCTTGCTGTTAATAAATGGGGTGGATGGCAGGTGTGTTGTGTGCTGAAGAGCAGGATACAAAGGGCTCGCTGGATGTGATCCCAGGACACCTGAATTACAGTGTATTTGACTTGAACTTTCATGATGCTTCTTAAAATGTGCTTAGAAGCATCTTGACACTGTGGCACTGCCCCAGAGCAGCTGTCCAGGAAGGTGATGAGCAGCTTTTCTGTTGGTGGGATGAAAAATTTCAAACCCCCTTCGTTTCCCCATGGAAATAGAAGCAGATCTGTGCTGGCTCCTCAAGCTTTTGAGTTCAGGGTTAGTGTGGTTATTTCCACATGCCTTTGGGTTTAGACTGTCTTGGCAACTGGGTGTTTCCAAGCTTTTTCACCCTGGGCTCGGGATGGGTGTCTGAGGGCTGGAACAGTGCAGCGGGGGCAGCAGGAGGTACAGCCCTGGAGAGTAATTAAATATGGAATATGAATATATCAGCTCTCTAGCTCCTTTTTCAAGTCACCCTGAAGTTGTCTGCATGTTTGCAGGTTCGGATGACAGAGCTGCCTGACCCCACAACTGTCAGGAAGGAACCTGGAATGTGCACACACCTCTGGCTGGAGGTTGGGGTTTGCTCAGTGTTACATTCAGGACTGCAAAGTCCTGCAGGCACAATGGAATCACTGGGTTTCATTTCACCACCAAAAGTAGGTTGAGCTGTTGGGTGGAGAACAGCTGTGTGTTGGTTTTTTTCCTCCTGGTATAACTGTAGCTGTAGAAGTGATTTTTACCAGCAGAATCACCAGCCAAGAACTGTATAGATTCTCCATGTTTCCAGTGTAAAAACTGAAAAGACTGAGTTTTCTCGAGACCCAACCTTTGCTGCCTTTGTGGAGATGGGAAGGGTCATTTGAATTGTAGTGCAGGGATGTTCCAGGGATTAGTGTTAAAATGCACAGCAAATGTAAAGGCTACAGCAGTTGAAATGATCAAACCTCACCTTATTGATTGCAGTGGTCAGGTCTTGCTTTTGGCAGCTGTTACTTCAGGGAGACAGCAAGAAAGTGGTTCCCCTCAAAAAAAAAAAAAGTGCCAGCAGTGCAGGGCAAGGAAAAACCCAAAATCTCATTAAAAATATCCTAAGGCAACACGTATCATTCCTGGCCTGTTTGTGTGAATTTAGTTGCTGCGACAGATTCAGCTTTTCTGGAGTTTGAAGGTTTACTTTTGTTTGCTCCCAAAAGTTTTCAGTCCTTTATCCCTGCTATCTGATACAGTACTGAAATAAATATTAGAAAGGCATTTTTGCTTTTCTCTATCCCAGTTGGTTATTAACACTTCCTAATATGAGAAACTTCGCATAAAATTTAACAACTAGCAGATAAAATCACAATTCTACTCCCCCAGAGTTCTGCTTGATATTGTTGCTTCACAGGGCTAAATTATGGCTTGGTAGTGGCTGTTTTCCTTTTTATTTGAGTTGTTGGCCAAGGTCTCTGGCACAGTTGAGGTCAAGTGCTTGCCTGATCTATTGACCCACATTAACAGTGAAAAGCTGCTGTTCCTGTACCAGTTGTGGGGTTTGTTTTCACTCCTGGCAGAAGCATTAATGTTGCAGCATATTTTAATACTAGTTTGGACAAGATATCAGTGGTGTGAAAGGCAAAGTACCAGGATTTGAGCTTTAGTGATTAAAGTAACCTTACTGCCTGATGCATTAGAACAGTGGGCAATGTTTGCCTTTTTTTTGGTGTGTGTACCAAAACCTGTGAAGTTTTCTAATCAATCTCTTTGAGATTAAAAAAAAAACTAAGCTTTTTAATTAAATACACAGAGAAGCACCAGCTTAAAATCACAAACTTGTGTCACATCCCAGGGTATGTGACTGTTCTTAACACTATGATAAAACAGCCTGGAGTATCATAAGAAGTGTAATTTGGTACTTTTTTTTTCCTTACTGCCCTTGCCATCTAAACCAGGAGGAATTATGTCCCTTTGGACACTCCTGTCAGCGTTGGATCCACTGAACCCTTCCAGAGGT